GGAGGAGGCCGTCCTTCAAGCACCCTGACCCCAAGTCATTTCATAGAATCGCAAGGGACCTCCAGGGTCATAAGAACATAAGAACATAAGAGAGGCCAATGTTGGATCAGGCCAATGGCCCATCCAGTCCCACACTCTGTGTCACACAGGGGCCAGAAATACCAGGGGGCCATCAGGAGGTCCAGCAGTGGGGCCAGGACACCAGAATGTGTCCATGTGGTCACTGTCAACCCCTTGCACAATACAGGAAATTCACAAATACCTCTCCCTCCCTCCACACCCACATTTAGAGCTTTAAAGATGAGAACCAGCTCTTTGACTCCAACCCCAGAACAGATGGGCAGCCAGTGCAGGTCTGTCGGCATAGAGCTGATGCAGTCCCTCTATCTGGCCCCTGGCAGTAGGCTGGCCGGCTCATTTTGTACCAGCTGAAGCTTCTGGACAGGTTTCAAAGGCAGCCCCATGTAGAGCACATTGCAGTAGTCTAACCTGGATAGGATAGGGAGGGGGCGTGGCTCAGTGGCAGAGCCTCTGCTTGGCATGCAGAAGGTCCCAGGTTCAATCCCTGGTAGCATCTCCAGTTCAAAGGATCAAGTAGCTGGTGATGTGAAAGCCTTCCGCCTGAGACTCGGGATGAGCTGCTGCCCATCTGAGTAGGCAACGCTGACTTTGATGGACCAAGGGGGTCTGATCCAGTACAAGGCAGCTCCATGTGTCCATGTGGTCACTGCAGCAAAGTCATGCTTTTTGAGGAAGGGGTGTGACTGGTCTATTAGCCAACGTTGGGAAGAGGCGCTGTGTTCCACAGAGCAGCCCTGGGCCTCCAGCCGTAGGGCAGGATCCAGGGGCACTCCCCCGCCTAGGAACCTGCTCCCCCACAACAGGCCGATTCCTCAGGCCTCAAGGGATTTCTTGTTCGCCAGCAGTACCTCACAGGGTGTCTATTGTGGGGAGGGGAAGGGAGAGGAGTCCGTAAGCCACTCTGAGACTCCTTTGGGTAGTGAAGGGCGGGGTATCAATCCAATCTTTTCTCTTCTTCTTCTTCTTCTTCTTCTATCTCAGTCTGGTCTGGATTGAGCTTCTGTTTATTGGCCCTCATCCATCCCATTGCCTTCTCCAGGCACCTTGTTCGGGACTTCTACAGACCCACCTGACTCTCAGCAGAAATAGACCAATGTTCCCTCTAAGCTGTGGAGTCTTGTGAGCAAAAATTCTACTTTGTGAGCTCCTGGCATTAAAGTTGTGAGCGAGCGATTTGGCTGCTGCATGAATTAGTTTGCTCTGGAGCCCTCCTTCCTGAGCTAAGATAGAAATGTGTGAGCTGGAGGCTAAACAGCTCTGAGCTAGCTCACACTAACTCAGCTTAGAGGGAACACTGGTCACATCCAGTTGGAAAGGGCATTGAAAGTGGATAGGAAGCGGATTATTGAGTGTGTGTGACCGCCAATGCTCCCTTTAACCGTAAGCCACTCTGAGACTCCTTTGGGTAGTGAAGGGCGGGGTATCAATCCAATCTTTTCTCTTCTTCTTCTTCTTCTTCTTCTATCTCAGTCTGGTCTGGATTGAGCTTCTGTTTATTGGCCCTCATCCATCCCATTGCCTTCTCCAGGCACCTTGTTCGGGACTTCTACAGACCCACCTGACTCTCAGCAGAAATAGACCAATGTTCCCTCTAAGCTGTGGAGTCTTGTGAGCAAAAATCCCACTTTGTGAGCGACTGGCATTAAAGTTGTGAGCGAGCGATTTGGCTGCTGCATACATTAGTTTGCTCTGGAGCCCTCCTTCCTGACCTAAGACAAAATGTTTGAGCCGGAGGCTAAAAAACTGTGAGCCAGCTCACACTAACTCAGCTTAGAGGGAACACTGGTCACATCCAGTTGGAAAGGGCATTGAAAGTGGATAGGAAGTGGATTATTGAATGCGTGTGACCGCCAATGCTCCCTTTAACCTCTGGAGTCTTGTGAGCAAAAATCCCACTTTGTGAGCGACTGGCATTAAAGTTGTGAGTGAGCGATTTGGCTGCTGCATAAATTAGTTTGCTCTGGAGCCCTCCTTCCTGACCTAAGACAAAATGTTTGAGCCGGAGGCTAAAAAACTGTGAGCCAGCTCACACTAACTCAGCTTAGAGGGAACACTGGTGTCATCCATATGTTGCTGGCACTGTACCCCAGTCTCCTGATGATCTCTCCCATTGGTTCATGGAGATGTTAAACAGTGCGGGGGACGAGAGGGAGCTCTTTGGAAGGCCACAGCGTCTGTGCCACGGGGGGTGAGCTGCATCCCCCAGCCCCACCTTCTGGAGGTGACTGATCATGTAAGAGCAGAACTGCCGAAGCGAAGCACAAAGCACATCCCCCCCCCACTCCAAACTCAGCCAGCCTGTCCAGAAGGAGACCCCCGTCGATGATGTCAAACACTGCCGAGACGTCCAAGAGAATCCACAGGGACTCCTCCCCTACCCGGTTTGGTGTCGTGGTTCGGAGCACGGACTCTAATCTGGGAGAACCGGGTTCGAGTCCCTGCTCCTCCTCCACATGCAGCTGCTGGTGTGACCTTGGGTCAGTCACAAGTTCTTTCAGAGCTGTTCCCTCAAGAACAGTCCTTGAAAAAGAGCTCTCTCAGCCCCACCTACCTCCCAGGGTGTCTGTTGTGGGGAGGGGAAGGATATTGTAAAACGCTCTGAGACTCCTTCGGGTAGTGAAGGGCAGGGTATAAATCCAGTCTCCTCCTCCTTCCCCCCTCTCCTGGCAAAGGTCATCCATCAGACAGAATGACCAAGGCTGTTCCCACTCCAAACCCAGGCCTCAGTCCAGACTGAAATGGCCACAGATAACCCACACTGCCAGGAGCTGTGTAGACCACCCTCACCCCACACATTACCCTTTTAAACCCGTTTTGAAGCCGTTTTTGATTTGTCGTGGAGTAAACTGGTATAGGGCTTCCATTTCACACATGGCTTTCCCCTTCTGGTAAAGAGCTGGATCTGAAGCGGTTTGCCATTTCAGACTGCACCGCTTTTTCCTGCTTCCCCCCCGCCGTTTTTTGCCTGCGCAGGTGATCTCCAGCTGTTTTCTTTTTGAAAGTTCACTTTAGAGTGCTATAGTGCTATAACACAACACTCCAGGCATTCCAAAGGGGTTGATATAATGCTGTTGTGTTATACCATTATACCGTTATGGCGCTATAGCGCTATAAAGCGAATGCTAAAAAAAAAAAGCCGGAGATCGCCCGTGTGGGCAAAAAACGGTGGGGGAAAAGCGCATCGGAACTGGGAGAGGAAACTGAAGACTACTTGGAAGCGCTTGACAGGTAAAACGCTTCAGCCCCGTTTCCTAAATGGGACAGAAGCGTTTGTGTGTGAAATTACAAATATATTCTAATATATTCTGGTAGGTAACTGGTTCTAAAACGGTTCTGTCTGAAATGACAGACCGGTAACCATTTGGGAACCATTCCTCTTCCGGATTATATCGTCTGTCTGAAATTCCTCCTTGTCATCGTAGAAGGCTTGGATCCTGCTGCGTCCGCGTGCAGAGGGTGTGTGGGAAAGTGCTGGCACCCCCAGTGGTGAGGAGAGGGACGGGACCACCAAACCCCAGGCAAGTTGACTTGTTGGCATACTTGTTGGCACCAAGTCCTCATGGGCCACAGATCTCTGCTTGGTGCTGCGTATTGCGGAAATGCAACACTTGAATGTGTGTGCGGATTTTACATCAGGTCTGCAAGACCTCAACTCTCAGCTATGGGGAGGGAAGGGATTAATCTTCTCCCTCTGTGCCATCTCCCCTGCCTCACATGGCCCCACGGAGCTCCTGTTTGCCCCACTGAGGCCACCATACAAGACCCAGTAAGGCAAAGAGGCCCTGTACAGGGCTGTTTCAGGTTGGGGAAATGACCTGGGGAGGAAGGCTTAAGTCTGCACACTGGGTGGGGATGGAGGAGGTCACTTTGTTTGGCTGTTTCAGGTGGAAGAAACAGCCCTGTCTGGTTTGGCCTTCCAAGGAGGTGTGTGTGTGTGTGTGTGCGCGTGCGCGTTCATGTTGTGTGACAGAGGGGAGCCGTCACAGCTCTCTTGGAAGTGAGTGTTTGTGGACCTGGTCTGTGTGGAGGGCACCCCGGAGGCCCCCTGCGCCCGATGCCTTCCAGCGTGCCCGGCTGCCCTGTTCCCTTGGGATGCTGCACGGGGGCCGTCTGCTCTCTCCTGCTGCCGGTACCGCTGCCAGTGTTCCCCAGGCCTTCTCCACAATATTTGGGCTTAAGCTGCAAAGCCTGGCCATGTGACCTTGTGACAGGCAGACAATGGGGCGGTTGTCTGGGGGGCGGTTAAGCTCCACACGTGTAATTCTGCTTGAGCTTTGGGAGGAAGGTTTCTGGGACTGCACGGATCTGGGGCAGCCGTGGCAAAGTGCTTAGGGGAGGAGAAGTCCCCTGTGAATGGAGGCAGTGTGTGTGTGCGCGAGAATGCCGTGCATGTGGCCCCCGGCTGTGAGCCAGAGTGTGGGGCTTGGCTAGCAGGGGCCTCGGTCTGCAGAACTACTAAGGGGGGCTCTCTTGACACCGAAAAGCTGGCCATCTGGGGCTGGGGCTTTCCAGTTGATGGAGGGCTTTGATTTCAGGAGAGCTTCAGCTGCTGCCTTGCTAGTGTGGCCATGGGGAGGTGGGGGTTCGGTTGGAATCAGGGGCCTCGGATTGCGGAGGAGGCTTCTTTAAGAACCGTGGCAGTTGGGCTTCACCAAACAGAACCAGAACTCTGAGCAGACCAACAGCTCCTGCCAGGGGTTGAAGCAGCCATGCCGTGGTCGGGAAGGTGGTGGGGCGATGGCCGGCGGCACAGGTGGAGGCAGAGGGGCCGGGGGGAGGAGGGGGTGGTCAGGGGCCCCCCGCACCTGAAGGGGTGGGCCCCTGGGGTGGGCACTGTGGCCTGGGCAGCGGTTGGCATGAGACGCGGCTCCCGTCCCTGTCGGCTGAACCCACGCAGTCTCCCCCGTGTTCTCCTGCAGAGGAACTGCCTCTGGGTGTGGAGCTCTTGGTGCCCCCGACATCTCCATGGTGCCCCTGCGTGGACACTTCAGGCTGCCTTCTCTCGAGCCAGATGACCATGGGCCCCTCTGTCCTGAGCCGTGCAGGCCCGCCAGGCCCGGAGCGCAGCCCCCCAGGAGCCCCGTCAGAGAGTCAGCTGGCCGTGGGGGTGGGGATGGTGCTCTTGCTCCTGGGCGAAGTGGCACCCAGGAGCGAAGGTCTCGGCCTCTCCCCTTCCGTTGCCCTCCCCTGCCAGCAGCGGAGACTTTGTGGGTTTCGTCTAGTTATTCCCTTCGTGATCCCTCCTTCCTCCCCTGTCTGTAATGGTTGGGTTTTTAATCTCTTTGTATGTAGTTTGGCTTGGTTTTGGGGAGGGGCTGTGGCTCAGTGGTTAGAGCCTCTGCTTGGAATGCGGAAGGTCCCAGGAACAATCCTGGCCCCTCCAGTAGAAAAGGACCAGGGAGCAGGTGATGGGAAAGAGCTCTGCCTGAGGCCCTGGAGAGCGGCTGCCAGCCTGAGCGGACAAGACTGGTTTGGGGCGGGGCTGTGGCTCAGTGGGTGAACCTCTGCTTGGCGTGCAGGAGGTCCCAGGTGGTTCAGTCTCCGGCCGCATCTCCATCTAAAAAGGATCCGGTAGTGAGTGTGTTGGGATTCTTTTTAAGTAAGTCAGCAGGGTATTAAGAGACTGAGTCCATGGTGTGTTTTAAAATATAAGAGTTTACTATAAACCTAACATGGGGAAAAGGTACACAGGATATGAAAATAACAAAGAGCTAATATGGCTACATCCTTACAGCTAAAAGGTAAAACGGGAATGGCCGGCGTCTTCTTCCTTAGTCAGAACAAAGAGAGGAAGAAGAGCCAATATGCTAAATACTTGACACCTTGGTTTCCAATCAGACTAGCAAGTTAGCTCCAAAGTTCCCGGGCATTCTGTTGTCTAAACAGATTGGTTACAAACAAACATGTGACTTCCTGTTGATCATAACGAACATCATTAACCCTGTAAACACTGAAGTGTTTTGACTTGTCACACCCAACAGAGTGACGTGAAGGACCTTTTCCCACTTGTGGCCCTGGAGAGCGGCTGCCAGCCTGGGTAGACAAGACTGGCTTGGGGAGGGGCTGTGGCTCAGTGGGTGAACCTCTGCTTGGCATGCGGGAGGTCTCAGGTGGTTCAATCTCCGGCTGCATCTCCATCTAAAAAGTATCCCGTAGTGAGTGACGATGAAAGACCTTTTTCCACCTGAGGCCCTGGAGAGTGGCTGCCAGTCTGAGTCGGCGACGCTGACTCTGAGGGAACCCAGGATCTGATTCAGGAAAAGGCAGCTTTGCGTGTCCATGTGGTTTTGATTGTTGAGTGATGTGCTGTTGTTTGGTGTGAGTGGCTTTTAAGATGTGTTTTTAATCTGTTTGCGCTGCTGGTGGCCCTGACGGAGGGGGGCCGAGTAGGAAGGCTGGAACTTGAAGGCCTTTGGGCCCCGGGTGTGGAGAGGGGCAGAGTCGGCTGGATTCTTCAGAAAACATCCGTTCTCTTCTGTCAAGTGCAGGGTGTGTGTATGTGTCTGTGTAGGGTGTGTGCGTGCGCTATTTGGCTGCCTTCTGTGGCAACGGTGCAGTGGAAT